TCATCTAGATAAAATTAATAAATAGCAGATTTTTAGTGATGGGCCCAATCTTAGATCCATAGGCCAACATTAGAGACATTTCCCCTATGTCTCAACTAAAAGGCAGGCATATCAAGAAGACTTTAGCATTCAAAAATTGTTAGAGAAAAAATCGTTTCGGTGAATAATCAAGATTGCAAAAATTGCCTGGGGTCATATTGGTCCCAAAATACAGACAAAGGGTTAGAGATAAATAGATCAGATGAGAAGCAGAATTAGGAACGTCTTCGATAGAAATAAGAAGTCTTTAATTATTGAACGTTCACCAAATTGTAGAATATTAAAATACTAAAGACTATCTCCTTTTGCTTTGCTCAATTGTTGGAGTCACAAAATATTGTAAAATTTTCTAAATGCTAATCGTTTAGAATTGATTTTATGTTCAACATTGCAAGGACTAGTATTGCAAGGTTTTTTTTTTGGTTGGTTTAAAAAAAAATATGTTCAAAATGTTTAATGTTTACCGAAGCAAATTTTAAAAATCTGTCACTGTCTGGTGAAAATGAAATTCAGATATCGAGCAAACAAACCATGAGTTCAAAACCCTAATAAATCTATTCTTTGGATCTTAATTTCTTGCAAACTTTAGATTCCTTAAACAATTTGTAAAACCAGTTTATCGCTTTTCCACCCTGGTTAATGATTAATTCTGGTCTTCTTCCTAATGGTATTGAGCATGACTCCCGTTATCTTTATCAATAATTTGAATGAGATAATCTGAACCTTGTTTCTAAAAAAAGTTCTTGGGAAAATGAAAAAAAAATATGTTATGAGGGTTTTTTAGGGAAATTAAAAATATCCAGGATTGAAAAATCAGTTGATTGCAAGACTTAAAACTAACTAAATTTTAACACGACTAGAAAAAAAAACTTGAAACTTGAAGACAACCCTTAAAATTGTGTAAGGTTCTGGCACTCTGGAAACCAACATGTTTATAAATAATTATAAACATATTGTATTTTTATACAAATTCATAAAATACCGATGACATATGCTGAAGTATTACTGAAAATTCAGTATCGGTTAAACGATGATCGACCTAGTAGTCCATACGGTATAATAGCGGTCGGTATAATGGTATTCAGCTAATCAGCGTCTAACCTAATTCTCCATAAAACAAATTTTGCCCCCCCCCCCCCTTATCCAAAACCATTCTACGCCCTTAAACCGGTACCCATACATAAAAGACAGTACTTTAATTTGAACCAAATTAATGAGAGAAGTTCAAAAAATGATGAGGTGGGCACTTTATTTTGCCTATCAGTGTAGGTGCCCAGGTAACAATTTGATGCTTAACAAGCATTGTTCCATCGATTTTAATTCTGCCTTAGTTTGAATAATTGTTGTACATAGACCACGTTAACCTTTGTTCAGCTTTTAAACATCTATTTCTGATTATTTTATTCAGCCAAATGCTTAACAGTTATATAAATTATAAGCTTTTTAAGGCATTAAATAACAGTCTTCTCCAACCCTTGTTCAGCCTTCTAGTTTTACAAAGTAAAAATAATAATGGAAGACCGCTTCATATCTCATATATTTTTATATGACCGCAACAAGATGCTACTAATTGAATTAACATATTTATATTATTTTTATAAGTCTAAAAATTACCTTTGCATTTCGGGATTCGAACCGGCAGTCACTGATTCACAGGCACCAATCATACTTACTGGACCATTTAAGCATTAACTTGAAACACGTCAAATTTAAGTTGAATAACAGCAACCGGAAGAGTATTTTAAAGCAATGCAGAATTGTAAACAACAACTGGTGACAGTAAAACATTCCTCTCATTTTCAAGCCAAGTTAACACAATGTGACCACAAGTGCACAATTTATTTCGATGGTCATTGGGAAGCTATTTTAGTGCTATAATTGAGTTATATTTTTGGAATTCTATTTGAAAATTCAATGCATTACAGCAGTCAAAACACAGAAATACAAATGTTAATACCTCCGGCGTCGTCGCAGCCCACTTCTATTACTACAAAGCTCCTCTACCCTTGTCTCTGCTGCTGGCGCTGCTTGGGATTAGAACGGTTGGCAGTTAATTTAGATGCCAGAAATGGGGCCTCCCTTAGCTCAGTCGGTAAAGGCGCAGCTACAAAGCAAGACCATGCTGGAGGTGGCTGGGTATTCCCGGTTCGATCTAGGAATTTTTCGGGTTGGAAAATTTATCGACTTCCCTGGGCATAGAAGCATGATTGGACTTGCCACACAATCATATCAATGCAAAAATGGTACAGGCATCGAAAGCTCTCAATTAATAACTGTGGAAGTGCATCTAGAACAGTAAGTTTGAGAGCACGCAATAAGTTAGTATGCGATATGCAATAAGCTTGAAATGCGAAGAAGAAGAAGAAGAAGAAGAAAATGCCAGCAATGCAATGAGTGACACTGACTACATTTTAAAAATCAGGCTATCGAAATATTTGTAGTGCATTACTGATTTGTGGAGTACTGTTAAGCTAAAATAAGGCTTGTTCACTCTTTAGATCAGCCTCGATAACTTAGGTTGAATTGTGGGGATACAATTAGCTTCATGCACTACTAATCAACTATATATTCAGCCAGCTGTTAATCAGCTTTGTACACCTTAAATCAACCAATAATCAACTTCTGTTCTTACTGTTTAGCTTGAATTGTTACTTGGGTGCCAACGTTGGATTTTACCAAGCTACAGATTCTCGAAAATGTTTTAAGTCAAGGATCCGCAAAATCTCACAGCTATGGTTTTTTTATTTTTATTAAACATTATATCATGAAAATGAGATAGAAATGCAAGTTCTAATTTTTTTTTAAATCTCGCAGATTGGTAGAATCTCAAGTATTCAAAAATTAGTCCAAATTAGGAATGTTTGAGCATTGTCAAGTCCAAAATATCAAAAAATATTATTTTTTTTAGGTTTCAGAATTATAAAAATGTTTGCAATTCTGGATTCGATAAGACTCTCAAAATATAGATGCAGACTTCCCTGAATGCACAAGTATTAGTGCAGAGCTTTGGGTAGTATATAAGTGTTAGTGTAGAACTTTGAGTAATTTATAAAAAAAAATTGATGAACACGAAAAAATCCGGATACATTAAAAACGTTGCCATTAAGGCATTTTTGAGCAACAATTTTCAAAACTTCACTTAATCAAGCTAAGAGTGTATAGAATCACAGTAGGCATTGGTTGTCAGGATAAGTTCATTTGTTTACATCATGGCTTCACCGGAGCAAGCACGTCGTGATTCGATCCTGGCAGTTTTCGATCAAATTTCTGGCCATTAATTTTATACCTCGGTTGACCGGCAGAGTGCCGCGGAATAATGTAAAATTAAAGGGAAGAGTGCCCCGGAAGAATGTAAAATCAAAAGGAAGTCGAAATTCCCCAAAAAGTTGCTTGTCTGGCAAGCAATCTGCAATGGTGGGCTGAAAAGCGAAACATTCGTTACTTCTGGGACCATGAACCGACAAATTTACCAAGAGGAGTGCCTACGGAGGAGACTACTGCCTTTTCTGGAGCAGCATGAGGTGGATTGCCTATTCTGGCCGGACTTGGTAAGCTACCACTACTCAAATTCCACCAAACAGTGGTACAGCAAAAATGGTATCACAGTGGTTCCCAAGGAAATGAATCCGGCCAATCCTCGGGAACTAAGATCAATTGAGGAATACTGGTCAATTGTGAAGCACATACTGAAGAAAAAGGGTAGAACTGCAATTCACCTGAAGGATTTCAAGCGGAAATGGAATTTGAAAACCAAAAAAGGGGGATCAGGGCTCGTGCAAAAGAAAAGTTCGAGCAGTGGCCTATGGTAAGAAGGAAGACTGAAAAAATGGTCTTACAATAACCATAATACCTACTTATGTATAGCTGTTACATTGAACTATGAAAAATAAAACGCATTTTTAAACCCCAACAAGATTTTCGCGTTCGGATTTTTTTCGTGTGCAACCTTTATCATTGAGGTATGGTCGTATGTGTACAGGGTTTTCTTTCATTTACTCTTAAACAATCAGACAAACGACAGAGAAGACTATTGACGTCTGGGGATTGGCCTGGCGTAGTTGTTAGCATTCACACCCCTCCCACAAATCTCATCCCCTGTCAAGAAGTATAATAAAGCAATAGCTCGGTGTCATACTCGGCAGATATACTTTTGGAGCGCCATAGTCGGAATAATTTTCACTTACTCCTCAGCCATTGGTTTTAGCACGTTCCTAATTTAATAATTTTTTTCATAGATAATAATGCTAAAAAATGATGAAAATTATAAATGGAAAGAGAGCTCCATTTTAAACAATCCTCCTAATGAAATTGTATGCTATCATATCTTATAACCAAACGTCCAGGTTCGTTTGGTGTACCACATATAAAAAAAAACAGTCAACTGGTGCATTATTTTTATTGTATCGAGTTTTATTCGCTCGAATCAAATGACTCATCTTAATGCTAACGGAAATGAAAATGCACTGAACTGTCGTCGCTCGTGATCGTAACTGTAATGTTCGCTATATGAACAGACTAACAAATACCATAAAAGAAGAGTATGAAAATGGAAAACCCATTATAGTTCCTTCCAGCAGCAGCCGCCATTGCGGGGGGACACTTCCGGCTCATGCCCAACGCAACAATGTTATCTTTTCCCAGCCATAATGCTTTTAACGAAATTGAATCATCCAATTACTTAGTTCACTGCATCTTCCGAGACGACGAGAGATAGTTGGAACTAACAACAACAAAAAAACATCAGGCGCAGTTATTTAAAACTGCGTTGGCCTAATTTTGCAGCCCGCCTAGATCCCATGGGGACGTTTCCAGTTCCTCTCGATTGAACGAGCGCGCGATGCTGTTATCGTTTGGATTTATGTTGTGTACACACTGTAGATGTAACCAATGCCTACACCACTTCGGAAACTATACCTACTCAATAACACAACGTTTCCTATCGGTTTCTGTTCCTTCCACAGCGTCCAGGAGAATGACGGTTCCTACTTCGAAAGCTTCACTGCCCTGTCGTGGAAAAATGAAAACAGACGGATGTCGGCGGTCCGCGCGGTGGAAACCCGCGCCGAGGTACTGCCGGAAAACGATAACGACCGACTGCTGGAGGACGACATCGAACGTTCCGAACAGAAGGAGCATCTATATCTGGACGTTCTATACGCGATTGCCAATACGGTGGGCGCTCCGGCACCGGGTGGACAGGTAACTTTCATACATTTTCTCCTCCCCTTTCCGCATAGACTCAAATCGAGCAGAAATGTGTCCTTTTCTCCACCGAGACACACGGCGTGTTGTAAACCTATCGAATGGCTCCCCCGTGCACAACCCCAATTCCCCGTTTTATGTGACACATCTTTTACCGTCACGTTTGTGCTCACTCCCCCTCTCTTTCTCTATACATATCTCGTAACGTAACAGCACCATCCCTGTGTCGTAAAAATCTATCGTTTCTTCTCTTTTCTCGTTCTCTTTCTATCTCACTATCTCTCACCTGTGGACTGTCACCACTGTCTTCTATATCCTTCTGCAATGAATGTGTGTTGTATGACAAAAAAAAAACTGCACCACCAACCGCGACGACACTGCTACTTCTACTGCTATCTGCCACCCACCACCCACTACTACTCGACACGTGCGTGTGCCGCTGCTCGACCATCGCCGGGGTCCGAACCGGTAGTACAGCGAAAAAAAGTGGCTGCAAGTAAATATACTTATCCCTATCTACTAACAGCTATAGCCCGAGATGCGACCACGAAAAAAAAAGATGTTCATCCAATTTCATTTCTCCTCACCCACTCATCCCTTCTTACCGCTAAAACTTCTTTTGCGATGTTGTGTGTACCTGTGTAGGTGTATTTGATGCGCGTTTCGTTTTTTTTTTTTTTTCGATTACCGTCACATTTGGGATGCTATAAGAGCAACTCCCCACTCCACAACTGGCTGCTGGGCTGTTACCATATGTGAGCGGTTGTGTACCTTCCTACTTTGCCAGACTAGAATATCGAAACACCATTTGACATAATCCGATTCCGGTCGATTGCAGGTTAACCGACGGCGACGACGACGAACAAATAAGAAGGAAATTGGTGGGATGTAGGATCGCTTTAACGAATCTGCCGGAAGGGATTAGAGCGTGGTAGCACGGTTACGGAGGATGAAAGATTTTTGATCATTCAGAAATCCGGACCCATCTTCAATTCGTAACAATCAGCTTTGAAAATTACTCACTCACTCATGTATCCTGCACATTGAAATTAAAGATGGACGGATGCTCACTTTTACCTTAACCTGGACCCAGGTTAACCTCCTTCATTTGCTTGTTGAGGCTCCACCACCGTGAGCCCCTGGGTCTGCCTCTGCTGCGATATCCTTCCGGGGTCCAAACCACCGCTTGCTTGCAGATTTTGTGACCGATCCACCTCCACTGACGTTCTCGAATTACTGTTGATATAGGCATCTGATGGCTTTGAAAATTAGAGAAAGGAGCAATTTCACGTCAAATGGCGAATCGTAAAAACTCGTCCTTTAACGATTTGCAACTCCAAGGGTATTCTGAGGATAATTTCATAAAGTTTGTGGTAGAAAATGAATCCAGAGCATAAGTCCTTGGAATTTGTATTTAAATACTAAAAAGAAGATTGCAATTAAATCTAAGAGTAACTCCAGGACATCTTCAAAGGAATTTGGAGTTTGCCAAACAAATTATGAGAAGAAATCGAAGGAATTTGTGAGGAGAAATGCCAATGAATTCTTAGGAGACTTTCAAGGTGAGTAGAATGCCAAGGAAAGGAGTGAGATTCAAAAGGAAATCGGAAATTAATTCAATGAATATTCAGAGAATATATCCAAAGGGTTCATATTCAAGGTAATTCCGAGGAAAACTATAAAAAAAATTCGGAGGATAACTTCAACCAAATTTTGAGGAATTGAAATCTCCGTTGGATATGGAATGGACTATTCTGAGAGCTTCAGAACTACTTGAATCATCCCAAATTTTTCCTGAAGTTAATGAAACTGCTTTGAAGTTCTTTTGTAGTTTGAGAAACTAGCCTGATGCCCACAATATTTCTCATCAAATTCAAACTTCCCTGAATTTGATAGGACTTCCTAAAGTTTCCTCAATTTTTCTTACGATCATGGATCTCTTGTAAAGGCTTAACAATTAGCTGAAGTTCTTTAAAATTTATGTGACTTCTCTCATGTTTTCTAAAATTATCACAACTTCTCTAAAGTTTTTGCAGTTCTCATTCAGCTTGTTGTACTGCGCTGAATTTAATTGAACGGTCCTAAAAATGTTTCAGCTTCAGTGAACTTCTGAGCTTATGCGAAGACCTCAGTTAACTTTTTGACTTCTCTGAAGTTATCTGAAAATCTGGGAACTGCTTTAAATTTCCCACTAATTTTCTGAAACTAATGGAACTGACCTCCCCTGAGATTCTTCCAATTTTTTGGATGATCCCAAATTTTTCTAATGTTCATAAAAAAAGTTCACGGATCTCCTCTTAAGCTCCATAGATTTCTAAAAAGTTCTCGAAATGTTTCTGAAGACCACTGTCCTTCTGTAAAGTTTTCGAAGTTTTCCTAAATTTCTGGAACTTTTGGGCTCCCGCAATGTTCATGTAATTAGAACGAAATAATTAATATAGTTCTATGATTTTCACTGCAGATCTCAAGATTTTTCTGAAGTTCATGGAACAGCCTTTAAATTATCGACACTAATTTAAAACTTCTTCAATAGTCTAGACTTTCCTGGTGCCTAAACGATTGCTTAATTTCTTCAAAGTTCTCTAAACTGTCTTGAACTTGTCAGTATTTTTTAAAAACCCACAACTTTACTGAAATTAATAGATTTGCCTTGAAGTTTCAACAATTTTCCTTAAGTATTATAACCATTATTAACACTCGCTAATTTTCCCTGAACTAATCTATGCTTACCTGTAGTTCTCTAAATTTGTTTAATAATCCGGCAAATTTTCTGATATATATTCTTAATTCCCTGACGCTTCTGACGTTTTCGGATCAATCATAGAATTCTTGGAACTACCCATAATTCCATGGAACTACAAATTTTCTTAAGTTAGTGGGATTATTCTGAAGCTATCTGATTGTCCTCGAAGTGCTCGGAACTTCGCTGAATATCATGAAACTATCTAAAAATATCTAAATTTATTAGGAGTTGTCTGGAATTTCTCGACGATATCACTGCTTGCTAAAAGTTCTCACATTTTTCTTTAATTAATGGAACTTTGTTGATGTTCTCTTATCAACTCAGCTGAATTTTCGAATTTTTTAAGTTCTTGAAATCTCCACGATATAACACCATTAAAATATGTTCCAGAAATTCTCTCGGAGCTTTGCTGAAGTTTCCGGAAATTCCCTGAGTTCCTCGAAACTTCTATACGGGTTTTACTATTTCCTTGAAATTATTTGATCTGACAGCAGCATTTGTTCATAACAGATGCAGCTGCGGGAATAAGTTAGATGGGGACAACACTAGTCTCCGGTAGGTCTATCTTGGTCTAGATCGAGTATTGACCGAGGTATTGGCCCCGGGTCGGTATCGATCGACTTGGAGAGCTACTCGCTACCCATTCCCTCACCCATTATCACCCGGGATGACAGCAGCATTTGTTCATAACAGATGCAGCTGCGGGAATAAGTTAGATGGGGACAACACTAGTCTCCGGTAGGTCTATCTCGGTCTAGATCGAAGCTTCCATAAAGCTCTTAGTTCAGTTGAAGATCTCGGTTCTGCTCGGAAATAAATAGAATTCCCGTTAACACCTTTAAATTTCCCTGAAATTCATTGGACTTCTGTGAAGTTTCTGAATTATTTCTGAAGTTTCATAAATTCTCTGAAGGTCTCTGTACTTATCTGAAATTCACGGAACATCTTAAGGGTTCTCGATTTGTTTTCAGCACATCCTGGAACTATCTTGAATTTATCTAAATTTACGATTATAGATTTTTAATCTACCTAGCTTTTCTGAGGTGCTTAGAACATAGAATTTGCACAATACCCCTCAAGTTTTCTAAATAACTCAAGTTCGCTTGACACCTATGAAGTTGTGGTGGATGCGCAAACCAATTGAAAAACAGTTTGATTAAGACGCAATCATTTCCGTTAAAAGTGTCGATGCGCAACATAAACGAAAAACAAACTTGTAAATCAAAATGACATTAATGTATACCAAGCATTTCCACTGGGTCTCAAATAAACATTCCTAATAAATCCCAAATGCAATAAACATGTTTACTAGGTCAAGCGCAAGACGATCAACAACGCACGCAGACGGCGCAATGAATGAAATGATTGTTTGCATAGCTAAGCATACTTGCAATAAGCATAATCGATTGCGTGTGACTTTTGCCACATGGTATCGGGTCAATTCGTAAACAACAGGAAGCAACATATCAACATAGGACTTGGGAAAGATTCAGCATAAACAATATTGAATTCTATCTGCGCAATTGGTTAATTAATAAAACTAACTGAAACTGAAATATACATTATTCTACAATCGCAAGTCAGAGTGTTATTAACTTCGAATGCCAGTTCAAAGTTCTCTGAAATTCTAGGAACTTCATAAAAGTTCCTGAAAAGTCTCGGATGCTAAAAGAGCCGCTTTGAGGTTCTTACAGTTTCCAGTAGGTTTCCCATATTTTCAGCGTGTTAACTTCTCTTACGTTCCTACAGTTTGTTTATAGAGCTTCAATGAAATTCTCAGCATTTTTCTTTCATTCCTCAGAACTTCTCCAAAGTTCCTACAATTGTTGTAAAGTTGATGGGACTGCATTGAAGATCGCTAATCTTTCATAAAGTTTATTACGAACTTGAAATAAATCGTTTATTTTGTTTTCTTAATTCTGGCACTTTGAATATTTTCAATATCTTGAACTTGTACATGGAATACGAAACTTCAAGACATTGAATATTTTTAGATCTTGGACTTACTTACTTGGAAAACTCAGGTAATTGTATCCAGAAAAATGAGTAGACATCCTGTATATAGAGAAAGACGATTGAACGTCACAACGCAAAGAATAATCAATCTTGAAATAAATTCACGCTAAAAAAGTTGAAAATTGTGACTTATTACAAGAAAAAGTAGAAGGGTCTGTGCCTAGGGGCACGAACGGATTTAACGTAGGACCGCTAGTGAACGGAATATATGTGAAGAGCATTTAGTTATTTTGGTTGATCAATTATCTATTATCTCTACTCTTTCCGTTTTTGAATTGTAGGCGTACCAAATTTGTAGTAATCTTTTTCAAATAGAAAGTTGATTACGAGAATCAATCAAAATCACTTGCACCCCTGCTTCCAAATTTGCTTGGTCGTTGGAGGCTTGTGGTTCTGAATATGGACAAACAAGCACAGATAAATTCTATTCCTACTCTTTACTGATGTAAGCTTGATGGTCCTGAAAAAGGCCGTTTTATTGAAGAGGACATCCATGGCCACTTACGCTTGGCGTGTTTAGTATAGGTGACAGCATCACGGACCTCATTTTCCAGGGACACCTTCAGCACACCTCGTAGATCAGACCGGAGATACGTCAGACACCGCCACGGCGCGCCAGACGACGGATGGTGGTTATCTCGAAGAATTTGCGATGACGATTGGCACCTCCTTTGCCACGACCAGTCAATTGTTGCTTGTTGGGTTATAGAAAAGTGCATCCAACTGCTGGTATTGCT